GTGAGATCGTGGCTGAAGAGTCCCATTGGTTTATAATTGAATGATCTTTCTTAAATCAGTTAACATTTGCCATTTACCAGATTTCTTTTTAATAACAAATACAGGGAGTTCCACAGACTGGTGGATTCCTCTATACGTCCTGCTTGTTACTGTCTTCTACTAACGTTTGAAGACACCCAATTTTTTCTGGTCCAGTGCCACTGCTCTGTCCATATAGGTTTGTGATATCCATTTAGAGCCAGTGCATAGTGGTGCCCTTCAACAGCTGGCCGCTATCCAAATTTGGATAGCCTAAATGAAGTCGAGAAGAGTGCTGTTTGGTGCCACAAAAGTCTTAGCCCCTTGCCTTCCTTACTCAAAACAAAACAAGGATTATAATTCAGATTAAGCATCATTTGTTTAGCAGGAGTAGATAGAGTGGGTATACTGATCTAAGCTTCCCATTGTTGTAACAAATCTCTTCCCTAGATTACAGCTATGTCAGCCACGAGAGGTTTTAGAGTGGCTGTTAATCAGGGCCACACAATTTAATATTGTTGACTTTCAAATATATCAATCATGTTCTAATTACATTACTAACTAGGGATCTGTTGTAAAGGCAAAGTGGTCGGCCAAACGCCTTCAGCTCCAGTATCTACAATAAAAGATTTGCCATTTATTTGATCTCTAGTTGGGTCTCTGGCCTTAATGAAAGTTTGCCAGTATACTTTAATTCTAGTACTTCCAAACTCTCCTTGTCTTTGAACATTAGATTTTCCAATTTGCAGATAAGGTAATAACAGAAGTTGTGCAATACGTCTCTCAGCCAGCATATGATAATGGGAAGTGGAACTCATCATGACAGAATCTCCTGAATAGTCTGAATCAATCACACCAAATGCTCTGAAATCCTTTCCTAGTAAGAGAACTCCAGCTAATGATTAACCCTCTGTGGCTAGAGGAAATGGACCAATATACCTTCCTGTAGGTATTTAAATATGCCGCAGAGGGCGGTAAGAAGCCATTATCACGGACAGCAGATCTAATGCTGTGCTCCTGTTAGTGGCAGGCAACAAGTCAGTAACTGTTAATTTTGGGGAATCCAAGTTTGAAATGTTGTGGGGGCTGCTGGCCAGGGCTATCATCACCACCATTGTTTTCCTGAGTCTGCAGCTGCAAGTCAGGAGCTGTTGGACAAGACTGTTTCCCATATGTTTTTCTTGGGGCCTCGGGCAAGGCCCCCAACAAATTTGAGCCAGGAATTTGAGGTTGCTGTGAGCTAGGCTAATGCCACGGCACTCTGGCCCAGGCAACAGAGCAAGACTGTCTCAAAAAGAAAAAACTCCTCTCCTTCTTAGGGACTCTTTAGGCCTTTTTAAAGGGAGGATCAGTTGGGGGGAAATCAGCATAACAAAGCAGTGGTGCTGAGGTGGTGCTCAGAGCAGCCAAGAGGAGAGTGGAAGCCAGGTAAACTCTAGCTGATGTTTTGTCCCTTTTTCAGTCTCATAGAGCAAAGTGAGGAGGCAGAACACATCTTCAGAACTTTTTCTGTTCTTTTATTTGTTCTATAGACCGTATTGAAGGCCAATAATCGAATTTTAATGGCTTTTTCTCATCCTTGCCTGATCATACAGAAGACCATAGATAGCACCTCCTCTTCCCTATGATAGCCAGGCTCATTGTTGCTGCCTTTTTTTAGAGGGAGTGAGCCAGGTCTGAGTTGACTGAAACGGTTGCAGAGCCTGAGTAATTAAGGAGAGAGTTGCCCAAGAAAAGAGGACTTCTTCTCCTCTGCCTTGTGAATGTCACAGCGCTCTGCTGGCCAGCCTCCATTGCCACAGTCTGAGCATACTGGAGGGGGAACAATGACACGTTTGGAAATTAAATGAAACAGTTCCTGAAATTTTCTGCTTGGCAACCTCCAGAACTCTGAATAGAGTCTGCAACAATTCAATGTACTGAGTCAATTTAGACTGATTCTTGCCCATGTGTTAGCCTGACTGAAAATCCCAGAGCTGAACTCACCCTTCCTGGACACAGCAGCTCCAAGCCTTCTCCAGGTCTCTGCAATGCTGTTCGGGAATCTCCTTCACTCCAGAGAAGCCTTCTGCCTTTAGGACCTGCTTGATTCACCAGTTGCCTAGATGCCACCAGGAGTTACCTATTACCCAACCAAGACAGGTCCAGGCAGGATTGTCACCAGAGATTTGAAAATAGTAAGAGACAGACACAAGTGTAGTTTACAGTGACTGGTTGCTAGCGGAACTCCATAGAGTCAGGGGTCTCCAGCATTCCATGAGCCAACAGTGAAGTCCCACGTCAGTATTTATTGTATATCAAGATATTGTCCTCAATCATAGAATCATGTGTACAGATCATCTGTGTAGGTTTCGAGCTCCAAGGGTTCCAGGGACCCTTACTAATTCTGTCTACAACAGTAAATAGTCACAAAATTTTTCTGAGATAAACATTTTAAGCCAAAGTTAAGAATAGACCTAGCTTAGCATACAAGTTAAAGATAAAAACGCATAAGGCAGGAAACTGAGCTACAAACTAATCTGTTCTCTTACAGTGAGACATGTGGTCAGGAGTGAAGCAGGAACAGCCTTGAAGTTTATGATAGTTCCGGCTGAAAGTTGTCTGCTGGGTGGCATTTTTCAATCAGTTTCTTATCCTTGGCCTATGCCAGCTCTGCTTGCACAAGCTCCAGCTGCTGGCTGCAGGCCTTGAGATCGGTACTGCCTTGCAGTCGTCCCTGATGAGGGGAATGTCTCCCTTGTTGCTAAGCAGTTCTGGTCTGAGAAGTAATACGCCCAGAAATTCCTTCAAGACAAAAGTACTGCAAACTCCTTAAACTTTCCATGTCTCTTAGCCTATTCCAACATCTCCCCTTTCTCTATAGAAGCAAGTTGATGAAGTTCAATAGCCATCACTACGAGACATTGGTCTCAGGAGGCTCCTCTTCTTTGGGTTTCTCTAGACTGTAAGTAAGCACAAGCAAATGATTAAAATAATTCCAAAGTTACTATAGCGGAACTCCATAGATTTAAGAAGAGAAAATGAGTTAGCTGACTCCATTACAGATGAAATACTATTAATAATGTCAGACTCAGAGAGTAGATCAAGTCTGTGACTGAAGGTACTTAATATTGCCTGTTGTAATTCCAATTTCTTCCGTCAAATTTCCTTTAAGTAGATGTTTTTACTGTTTTCCAAGGAAACCGAGTCTGATTACATATGGGAGGTGTAACACAAAATTAGTGATATTCCAATCGCAACAGAGTCTAATTTGTTTTTGTGGCTTATAACCTGGTCCCAGTAAGGTGACCACTTGTTGTAAGTTGGCCACCTGAGTAGCCAATTTGTTATCACTCTGAATTTGTGTGGAGCATAATTAATTGATTCATGATGCCAATTATGAACAAACTCAGTAGTTTGCATGGTTTGAATGAAAAGCCACCCTGCTGTGGCTGCAGAGGCGATCATAGCAATTATCCAAAATAGCTGCTGTTAGGGGACCAAGAAATCCTTTTGCATGTTTAAGAATGGGTTAAGTTGGGGAGGGGGAAATGGGCTTTATTGAAACCTTAAAATCTGTACCCTCATAATATGCGAAATAAAAAACAAAAATTAAAAAAAAAAAAAGAATGTGGTTAAGTAGCTTGTCTAAAAGGAACATGCTGGGGTTTCTTGCCAGACTCTATTCACTTTAATAGGTAACCAAGCCCCATTCTGACTTTAGAATATAAAGTATTCTATGTAAGGATTAATTTTATGAAATTGTCAATATGTATATTAAGAACAGTAGTTATAGGTCACAAGGAAGGAAGTTCATTATACTCAGCAGGCCCAATCATGAATAAGTAAGACAGTTTAACACAAGCTTAGATATATAATGAGTAGAGTTCAAGAAAAGGCACTCTCAGCTACAGTTTGTGTCTAATCTCTGTGTGCTAAACCAGGCCATAGAGGTGCAGAGCAGCCAACAGTTTCCACAATTGATCATCAATAAGGCCATTTAAATGTGAGGGCGGGGGCTCCTATCATCATTCAGCATCTAATGTGACTTTGAAAGCCAGTGTCTTTTACAAACATCGAGGTGGCAGTTTTATTCAATGAATTTTTAGATTGCAAGAGAGGAGCAGTATACCCATAGGACTCCAATCAAGCACGTAACTGTAAAATGGTGATGTAATAAGAATGCATTCCATGTGGGCTCTACAATTTTCCCATTGTACCAGGTTTTAGAATAATTACTACTGCTTACAAATAGGTACATTTGTGGATACAATTTTAGAATTTCCAAATGAAGAAAAAGAGGCGGTTAGGAGTTATAACCAGGCCTTACTCTTACTGCCGGATGATTTGCTGGTGACCATCCAGGTTTGGGTAGCAGGCTTTTTTTCTTTTTTTTTTTTTTTTTGAGACAGAGTCTCACTTTGTTGCCCAGCTAGAGTGAATGCCGTGCATCAGCTAGCTCACAGCAACCTCAAATCCTGGGTTCAAGCAATCCTCCTGCCTCAGCCTCCCGAGTAGCTGGGACTACAGGCATGCGCCACCATGCCTGTCTAATTTTTTCTATATGTGTAGTGGCCAATTAATTTCTTTATATTATAGTAGAGATGGGGTCTCCTCTTGCTTATAATCCTACCACTCTGGGAGGCCAAGGTGGGAGGCTGGTTTCAAACTCCTGACCTTGAGCAATCCGCCCGCCTCGGCCTCCCAGAGTGCTAGGATTACAGGCGTGAGCCACCGCGCCCGGCCAAGGTAACAGGTTTTCAATAACGAATATCTTTACCAATACATATGGGAGGGCCCTCTGTTCTAACTTCATATGTATTAATGTTGGTGCCTACCTCGTTGGGATTCATTGGACCACGATAGTCATAGAGTCCTGGTAGCCAATTAGAATCATTAACAAATACTAAAAAAGGAGTGTCAGCCCAGTTGACAATATTATTTAAAGGTAGATTAGGAATATAGGTATAACAGTGATAGGTTTGATTGACAGATCCACCTACCGCCATGCTCACCACGCTGATCACAGCAAGAAAAAGGTTTGCAGCCGTTTTAGGTACAGACGTCTGACACAGTATCTTTTCTGCTTCCTCATAGGTCTTCTTCAGCTCGCCCCATGTCATGGGTTGTGACTTTATTTTTTTGAATTGGCCCTTCTTGGGCTTTGGTTTCTTCTTCTGAGAATCCTTTGTCAGGGCTTGGTCCGTAGAGGGTGGCATCCTCTGCTTTTTCCCCTCGGGTGGACTCTCTGAGCTTGATTCTTCTGCTGGGGATGCAGACCGTTTGTCTGTCATCTGTCAAAACACAAGCATAACCTTGACCTATACCTTTGCCCATCCTTCTATTTATTTTCTATATCATCTTTCCCCCAGATGGGCTGGTGAGGAAAAGAGTCTGGTTGTTGACTCCCATTCCAATGTTTCTCTACTGCTATTAAATTGTCTTCTTTACAAATATTCAGAAAATTTAGAGTAAATAAGTCTAGATTTATTCTATCTCTGGGGGACTGTGTTCCACCTGCTTTTCGTTTTAATAATTTATATTTTAAGGTTTGATGAGTACGTTCTATAATGCCTTGTCCTTGAGGATTATAAGGAATGCAGGAATGTGTTTGATATTCCATTTAGTGCAAAAGAGTAACTAGTATAAGCAGGGGATTCTCCGTTTGGATGGTGCCTAAAACTCCAATATTTGTAAAACAGGAGTATAAGTGTGCAAATACATGTTGAACAGTTTATCCAGGGGATGGAGTAGCCATAATGAGACCAGAATGAGTATCTATTGTAACACGTACATCGACTAATTGCCGAATTCAAAAATATGTGTAACATCCATTTGCCATAATTCATTTGGGGAGAGGCCTAGGGGATTAACCCGCCCATGAAGACTAGGCTGATTGTTTGGCAAGTGGGACACTGAGAAATGATATGCTTGCCTTCATTATTTGTTATGTGAAATTTTTTAATTAAACCTTTAGCATTGGCCAGGCACGGTAGCTCACGCCTGTAATCCTAGCATTCTGGGAGGCCAAGGTGGGTGGATCGCTCAAGTTCAGGAGTTCCAAACCAGCCTGAGCAAGAGTGAGACCCTGTCTCTACTAAAAATAGAAATAATTAATTGGCCAACTAGAAATATATAGAAAAAATTAGCCGGGCATGGTGGTGCATACCTGTAGTCCCAGCTACTCAGGAGGCTGAGGCAGAAGGATTGCTTGAGCCCAGGAGTTTGAGGCTGCTGTGAGCTAGGCTGATGCCATGGCACTCTAGCCAGGGCAACAGAGTGAGACTTTGTCTCAAAAAACCAAAACAAACAAACATAAAACCTTTAGTATTAATATGAGTTAATTGATGAAACTGAGTTGCTTCTTCAACAGAGCCAACAAGTAACTGATCTACTTTCTCACTGAGAGCAGCCAATGGGCCCGGGAAGGTTAGTGTGATATCTAATATGAGTAATAAAAAGTGGAAACTGGCTATTCCAATAATCAACTGAAGTTGCTGAAACAGCTTGGAAACCTCATCAGTTTCTGTAATAGTGACTGTTTCCAAGGCTAGAACTGCATGTACAATGTATTGTGAGTCACAAACAAGATTTAAGGGTGAAGTAACATCTTGTAAAAGCTTAGTATAGCTTGCAGTTCCACTTTTTGTGCTGAATTATAAGGTGTCATCCACACTTTAGTTAAAGGACCTCAATAACCGGCTCGACCATTGCTACTGCCATTAGTAAAAAAGGTGGGGGAATGAGGTATGGGCATGGATTTCACTATTTTAGGTAATATCCATAGAGTTAATTTCAGAAATTGAAATCATTTGTTTTTTGTATAGTGATTGACAATTGTTCGTATAAAATCAAATATACCTGATTGCCAATCTAGATTTTGTTGATAAGCCATGTGAATTTGTGAGTCAGTAGGAAGAACGACAATGTTCTCAGGACCTTGGCTACTAGTTGTTTTAATCTTTGGCAGCCTTTAAACATAATCTGACCCATATTGTCCAAATATGTCGTAAGATGTTTCTGTTGTTTAGGCGGGAGAAAAATCCACTCATTTATACCAACTTCTTGAATTAAGGTAGCAGAGGGAGAATGTTACGATGGGTAAACACTTAAATCCACTCTTTTCTCAAGATTCACTTTAGACAGTCGAGCTTTGTGAATATGAGATTGAATCCACGCCAATTCCTCTTTAGCCGCCTCAGTTAACTGACGAGGACTGCTAAGATCAGAGTTGCCCTTTAGTATATCAAAGAAGTTGCTTAAAGCTTAAGTAGGAATACCTAACATATGTCTAAGCCAGTTCATGTCTCCTAGTAATTTCTGAAAATCACTCAGAGTTTGCAATTTGTGTATACATATTTGAACTTTTTGAAGAACTATTTTATATCTATCAATGAGAGACCTCAGATAAGTAAATGTATAATCCTATTGGACATTCTTTTCAGTAATTATTAAACCAAATGAGGCAACACTTGTTTGGCCTGTCAGTATAATTGTTCAAATTTTTCTTTAGATGAACATGCAAATAAAATGTCACCCATATAATGTATACTGTAACTATGGGGAAAACAGTTTTGTAATATTTCTAAAGGCTGATTGACAAAATGTTGGCACAAGGTCAAGCTATTAAGCATGACCCCAGGCAAGACTTTCCATTTGTATCATTTAGTTGCTTGCTGATTGTTTAAAACAAGAACCATAAAGGCAAATTTTTCTCGATCAGATATTTGCAAAAGGCTTCTAAAATAACAGTCTTTTAAATCCACTATTACAATATGCTAATCTTTAGGGATCATAGTCAGACATCGTAGTTTCCCAGCTGAACAGTCCACATTGGTTGTATAACTGAACTCCTGTTTCTTATATCAGTTAACGTTTGCGATTTACTGGATTCGTGTTTAAAAACAAATACAGGGGAGTTCCACTGACAAGTGGACTCCTCGGTATGTCCTGTTCTTCTACTAATGTTGGAAGAGCACCCAATTGTTCTTCTACTAATGTTTGAAGACCACCCAATTTTTGCTGGTTTAGTGGCCACTGCTCAGTCTATACAGGCTCTTGTGATATCCATTTTGAAAGCCAGCATATAGTGGTGCCCTTAAGAGCAATGGCCACTATCCAAAATTTGGATACCCTAAACGAAGTCAAGAAGAGTCCTCTTTTGGCTCCAGGAAAGTCTTAGCCCCTTGGGGGTGCCTGCCCAGGGAAGGCCCCAGGATACGAGGTACCTGGGTAGCCCCCTACCCCAGGAGGCGGGTTCCCCCACAAGCCAGGCCATCCTTGAGGGTTTGGCTTTGCAGACCCAGATAACAACGCATGATTAAGCTGGAACTAAAGACATACCAATTACAAGACAGAAAGCATTCACAAAAATAGAATTTTTAGGAAAATGGACATATATGTTCTAAGAAGGAGAGGAATATGATAAAGGTATAAAATTCATATCAGTAAGCTTTATTTCACCTACTAATAGTTTTGAGTATCAAAGATGAAGTTGAGAAGAGTGCTCTTTTGGGGTCCCAAAAGTCTTAGTCCCTTGGCCTTCCTTACCCAAACCAAAACAAGGATTATAATTCAGATTAAGTATCATTTGTTTAGCGGGAGCAGATAAACTAGGTATACGACATACTCTCCTGATTGTTGTAACAAATCTCTCCCCCAAAGATTGACTGCTATTTCAGCCCAATAAGGTTTCAGGGTGGCGGTTTATCAGGGCCACAACAATTCAATAACAGGACTAAAGTTAGACTTTGGGATTACATATGCTTTTTCACTTTATTCTTGCCTTCCATTATCTTGCCATTATTCTTGCCTTCCATTATCCTGTGGATGCATTTTTGTAACTTGCTCAATATTTGTTGACTTTTAAATACATTAGTCATAGTTCCAATTAGATTAACTACTATGGGGACATGTTGTAAAGGCAAAGCAAGTCAGCCAAAAGCCTTTAGAAATAATTGTAACATCAGCCTCAGTATCTACAAGTCCAACAAAAGATCTACCATTTAGTTTGATCTCTAGTTGAGGTCGCTGATCATTAAAAAAGGTTGCCAATATACTTTAGTTCCATTACTCCCAAACCATCCCTTTTTTCAGACTCATAAGGAGCAAAGGGAGGGGGAGACGGAAATTCATCTTCAGAATTTTTCTCTCCTTCATTCTCTCTATGGATCCATATTGTGGACCAGTAGCTAAAATTAGCGGCTGTTTCTCATCCTTGCCTGATTCCTACGGAAGATAGTATATAATCGCCTCTTCTGTATGAAAGCCAGGTTCTGGATCTGGCACTGTCTTTATTTTATGACAGGAGAGAGGTGTCTCAATATCAAGTCTGATAGAGATAAATGCAAAGCCTCAGTAATTAAGGAGCAAAGTTGTCACACAGAAAGAGGGACCCTATCACCTCTCTGGCGCACGTGCCGCAGAGCTCAGATGGCCTGCTGCCACTGCCGCAGCTTAAGTGTACCGGGAGGGGGAAACCCATAGCAGTGTTTAGAAACTAAATGAAATAATTCCACAAAAGTTTTCTGCTTGGCAACCACCCCAGAAGTCTGTAAGGGAGCCTGCAATGATTCAATGTACTTAGTAAACTTGGACTGATTCTGCCCCATTTGTTTCCCAGACTGAGGGAAATCCCTGGAGGTGAACTCACTCTTCCTTGAGACTGTGGCTCATAGTCTTCTCCAGGTCTCTGTGGCGCTGTACGGGAATCTCCTTCACTCTGGTCAAGGCTTCCACCTACAGGAGCCTGCTCACTACGCCAGTTGCCAGAAGTTACCTACTCTCCCAACAAAACAGGTCCCGGCAAGATCGTCATAAGAGAGTTGCAAATAATAGAGACAGAGACAAAGTGTAGTTTAAAGTGATGGGGAAGTCAGGGGTCATCCAGCATTCCTGTGAGCTAGGAGGCACTGAGTGAATTTGGACAACAGTATGTACTAGTATAGCAATTAGTTGTTAATGGTTACATATATATGTGAACAGATTATTTGTTTAGGTTTCAAGGCTCCCCAAAGGTTTCAAGAGATCCCTTAATTAATGCTATCTACATGAGCAAATGGTTACAAAACTTTTCCAAGATAATCTTCTTAAGCCCTAAGTTAGGGACAGACCTGGCTGAGTATGTAAGTTAACGATAAAAATGTTAAAATTACGTATTTCTTTATCTAGTCCCTCATTCACTGAGACATGGGATCAGCAGTGAAACAGGAACAGCCTTGAGGCTAAAGATGGCTGCAGCTGCAGGTGTCTGCTAGGCTGACATCCTTTGACTGGTCTCTTAACCATTGGCCCCATGCTGAGCTCTGCCTTGCATAAGCTGCAGGCACTGGCTTGAAGGCCTTGAGATCCCTGCAGCTTTGTAGTCTCTCCTGATGGGTGCAATGTCTACCTTGTTGCTAAACTGCCTCTGCTCTGTGAACTAATATGCCCACAGATTCCCTCAAGACAAAAGCCCTGTAAAACTCCTAAAACTTTCCATGTCTCTTAACCTTATTCCCAACACCCCACTACTCTATAAATCTGAAAGGGAAGGATCTGGGACTGAGATGTGTCTGGATCCCCCACAGAGTTTTGTTTTACATTTAGAATTCACTTACTCAAATGGGTTTTAATTTGCATGAAAATTCACTCCTTAGGCCACAAATTATCTTTAGAAGGTTTCTGAAAACCAGATTACTTTGGTTCCTCCACAAGTTCACTCAATGACTCTGAGCAAGTCATCTATTTCTCTATTGCCCCATTTCCTCGGGTGGAAAAGGAGAATAGTAACACTATCTTATGGAGGGGTAGTGGGGTTAAATGAGATAATCTAGGTAGAGGCATACTGCCGGCACATGTTATGTACTCAGAAAAGTGTTTGCTAAAAATAACCAAAACTTTCCCCAATTACTACAATCTTAACTTCATTTATATTAAGGCAGCTTTATCAATGCCTTCAAAAGATACATTACCTTCTCTCTATACTATCAGCACACACAATAATCTCAATATGAACACTTATTTTTTTTCTATTGGGCCACCATACACCCATGGCTTGTCCTTGAAGTGGCTCTAAGTGGCTTCTTTAAAGCTATGGGTCTCCCTGAAGCTCTCTGTGCACCAAGTACATGAAAGGATTCCATCTTACCGGTAGTCCAGCAGGGCTGCCATAGGGGCCGGCAGCAGGGTAGGCTCCCGGAGCACTGGGCTGTGCAGGAGGTGGGTAGGCCCCAGGCCTGCCTGGTTGCCCCAGGTAGCCTCCAGGTGCAGGTGGTCCAGGATAAGCTCCAGGTGCTGTAGGGCCAGGGTAGGCACTAGGAGGCCCCTGCCCAGGATAAGCCCCTGGGGGTGCCTGCCCAGGATAGGCCCCAGGATAGGAGGCACCTGGGTAGCCCCCTACCCCAGGAGGCAGGTTCCCCCACAAGCCAGGCCATCCTTGAGGATTTGGCTTTGCAGACCCAGATAACAACGCATCATTAAGCTGGAACTAAAGACATAGCAATTACAAGACAGAAAGCATTCACAAAAACAGAATTTTCAGGAAAACAGAAATATATGTTCTAAGAAGGAGAGGAATATGATAAAGGTATAAAATTCATATTAGTAAGCTTTATTTCACCTACTAATAGTTTTGAGTATCAAAGACTAAAGTTAGACTTTGGGATTACATATGCTTTTTCACTTTATTCTTGCCTCCCATTATCTCAGATCCTGTGGATGCATTTTTGTGACTTGCTCAAGTCAGGAGCTACCTCTCCTCTACCTTCACAGCATACTTTCTACTCAACAAGCGAGAAACAATCACAAACATCGGGACGCTCACATTGCATGTCCCTTCCTGCTGCTCAGAGGATTTCTTAGCTCCTGCCAGCAGAGTCCACTCTTCTATTCTGGGCCTTTTGCTGAAAGGGTTACTGTCAGGAAGTCCTAGGCCTCTCTCTCCCTGGCTTCTTTCTCAAATCTGCTGCTGGAAACACAAGGCTCCAGCTAACAAGCCCTCATTTGACAAGTGAAGCCAAAGGAAGTTGGAAAGGGAAAGCTGTGGTAAAAACAAGACCCCCACCCCTCAACCTATGTGTGATGTATCTGAGGGGAAGAAAACAGACATAAAATACTTACCGAAAAATTCTCTGCCATTTTCCTGAGGGAAAAAAAAGAGAGAGAGATTATCATGTGGTCCTGAAAGATTTCACTTAAATTGAGCATCACTACTATTTCATTGGACAGTTCTAGTCAATCTACAGGCATTAATGCCTAAGTCAATAATGTGGAACCATAAAAACAACTCACCAAGGGCTAGGGATACTTTCCAGCTAGGTTCCCGAACTCTATTTAACTCATGAATTTCAACTTTGATCACACCAGCCTGTGTTCTGAATCTCAAGAGTAAGAGGCCATACAATGCATGAGGGAGGAGGAGGAGGAGGAAAATGTTCTGCCCCCTTCCTAGGTAAGAAATATAAACAATCATGGTTTATCTTTGGCTCTCCCTCACCTGCCTTCCTGCACTCTTTCCACCACCCTTACCAAGGGCTCTGTGTGTTAGTATAGTATTGCCCACCTCCCCTCTGTTCCCACTAACAGCCCCACTCAGGTTTGTGAAGGAAAGCAGTGTTGACTGACTCCTGCTGAGATAGGAAAGGCAATGACCTCCAGACATAGCTGCTGCTCCATTATTTATTCCTACATTTACGCACAGTTATGCCTTCTCTGGGCCAGGTGGTTTGTTGACTCCTGTTTGGGTATAAAGATAAACAGATCTGTATGGTCAAAAGGCCCACAGTCCAGTAGGGCAGATGACAGGCATTCATGGAAATAAGAAGTCATCAATGCTGTGAGTCAGACTGTGTGCCATGGAATTTAAACCCAGAATGCTTACTGCTAAGAGGGGAAGGGAAGGTGGAGTTAGAGCTAAGCTTTCCAGGACAGGTGAGATCTGGAAGATCTTTTTTTTTTTTTAAAGACACTCAATATGCCAAATAAAATCTTTGGAAACTAAGGTTGAAAAAAAAAGGGCAGCCAACACTGAAAAAGCCATTTTGGGGTTTGCCTTGCCCAGTGCCACAGGGGTGGTCTTTAGACATCATTCCCCCTTTCACTCCTTCAGCAGTGCCTAGTCTTCAAAAGCACAAGAGGCTCTACAGCTGCTGCAGGTACTCCCGTGGTGAGGGGAGGAGGGCAGCTTCTGGCTTTTGCAGCCAGGGTGAGTCTTCCTAAGCTCAGGATCACCTGTGCTATGGCCAAAATTACCTGCACCTTGAAACAATCAGAATTTCTTACTCCTTGATTTGTCCACTTGTGACATTTACTCAATAATTTTAAACAATGGCATTGCTCTCAAGGGGTCCAATAAATATCAACTACTTGATAGGTTCTAAAATTGCAAAATATTAAATTTCATAAAAACTCAAAACAGACAGAGCTACTCCTAGGACTTACTCTGTGCAGCATTTACACACACTGGATATTTTATATGGATTTAGTATTACTTATTTGAAATGCTTGGGATCAGAAGTGTTTCGGATTTATTTTTATTTTGGAATATTGGCATATACCTAGTTAACATTCCTAAATCTTAAACACCAAAATGCTCCAAAGAGCATTCCCCCCTCACCCCACCTCGTTTTTTTAAGACAGAGTGTTGCTCTGTTGTCCAGGCTAGAGTGTCATGGCATTAGCCTAGCTCATAGCAACCTCCAACTCCTGGGCAAGAGCAATCCTCCAGCCTCAGAGTCCTACATAACTGAGACTGCCAGTGCACACCACCACACCTGGCTAATTTGTTTATTTTTAGTAGAGACAGGGTCTTACTATTGCTCAGGATGGTCTTGAATTCCTTACCCTCAAGGAACTCTCCTGCCTCATCCTCCCAGAGTGCTAGGAATACAGGCGTGAGGCACCATGCCGGGCCTAAAAATCTTGAGTTTTGGTTGAAATCAGTGGTACACTAAGGACATGATGCAGGGAACCGGAGATATTTACTGCAAAAATCCATACAATTAAAACTTTAAATCTCCAACAGATCACACCAGGTGGTAGCACTTTCCCCATACCCAAAAATCCCTCCACACAAAGACAGGCATGGGTAAAGCTCCAGCTAGGTTTCCATATTTGCCAACCTCTTCATCACAATCATAGTTTTAAAGTTTGCTATAATAAAGTCCTGTTCTCTTGAAATGGAATAAAATGGAGGTTTATTAGCACCTACACATCTTAAACTCTCAGAAGGGCCCATGTTAAGATCCCTGGGTCCACTGAATAAGAATTCTGGGATTGGGCCCAGAATCTGTTGTTAACTTTAGATTGGAATTTGAAGGGACTTTAGAGGTCATGTGTTAGATCCAATCAATGTAAGAGTGTGAGTGGGGCTCTGGATTTGGGATGGGGTACTATTAATAGGCTAGGAACAGGGGTAAGGCAATAATGCTTGATCAAAAACCAGGCAGACATAGGCCGGGCGCCGTGGCTCACGCCTGTAATCCTAGCACTTGGGGAGGCCGAGGTGGCCGGATCGCTCGAGGTCAAGAGTTCGAAACCACCCTGAGCAAGAGTGAGACCCTGTCTCTACTATAAATAGAAAGAAATTAATTGGCCAACTAACATATATAGAAAAAATTAACCAGGCAAGGTGGCGCATGCCTGTAGTCCCAGCTACTCGGGAGGCTGAGGCAGGAGGATTGCTTGAGCCCAGGAGTTTGAGATTGCTGTGAGTGAGGCTGATGCCAGGGCACTCACTCTAGCCCAGGTAACAAAGCAAGACTCTGTATCAAAAAAATAAAAAAATAAAAAACCAGGCAGACAGTCCATACTGAAGTCCTTATTCTAAGGGGAAAAAACAGACCCATTTTGTTACTTATTATTCTCTCCTTAAAGCACCAGAAAGTAATGGCCTTTTCACTACTAATTCCCTCTTCAACTTCACCTCCTCAGCTTCTTTGACACAGCTTTCCCAGCTCTCTTCTCTTCTTCCCCGGCCCTTAAAGATCAGTGTTCTTCCAGGTTCTTTTTCTAGACCACTGCTCCACTTAAACTATATGTCTAAGTGATCTCTTGTAGTTTTACTCTCCCACCGTTCCACAGGCATGCTCTCCCAAACTTCATATCTATTGCCTGGTGGACATGGATGGACTCACCTGGATGTCAAAAGGAATTTCAAAATCAATAATACTAGTTGATAGCCTCAAGCACCTAGTCTATCAAGCCAGAAACTTTAGTCATTTAGATACCTCCTCCCTGACCCACACATCCAATCACCAAGACACTAACTTATGCCCTCCTCTGCATCCCTAGCACAACTGTCCTATCATCTCTGCTACACTGTTGTTAGCTACAGGAAAGCCTACCTTCTGTCAGTGCAACGCAAGGTGCTGGAGCCCACTCCAGCCAACCTATCAGCTTTACCCTAGCATACTTCACATTGGAAGACTTATTCACAGAACCATGACCACTAGACCAGGTAGGGAAGTCCAACCATATCACTAAGATTTTTTTTAGGCAGCCAGGACTGCAAAACTAACATAACAGCCTCACATTTTTTTCCTACCAACCTCTATCCTAAAAATGTGAATTTCCTTCTACCCATTTATTATCATAAGTTTATTAACCACTCGGGATAGTAAACTGGATACTAACCAGTTACTTACTATCCGGTTACTTACTAACGCTGGTTAGTAAGCTGGATACTACTGATGCAACTATGAATGAAACATTACTGCTGCTCTTAGGGAGACAGAAAAGTAAACAGGCAATTATAGCAGAATGAAATACCTGTCCTAAGCATAGTACACGGTGTTGTGAGTCCATATGAGCATGGGAGAAGACAGAGGGAAGAAGTGTGGATGAAGTGGGGAGAGAGGGCCACCAGCACCACACTGAGACTTGGGGAGGTAGGAACAGGTCACAGATGCCCTGATTTTGCAAGTTAAGCCTTAAAGTCCTCAGAGGTTCAAAAGTAAATGATGCTTGGTGGAAACTCGGGTAGAGAAATAAAGAGAGTGTCAATTAAGGCGTTAGGAGTGGAGAGATGGCAAGTAAATGGAGCAATAAGAAAAACAAACAAGATTCTAACCACTGACTAAAAATATGGATGAGAGAGAGGAGTCAAGGATGGGTCCTCATCTATGGCTTCACCAACTATATGAAGAGTCCTACCTCCCAGTGAGGTATCACAAAGGTGGTGGCTGAGCGTATTTAGAGTAGGAGAGGCAGAGCTGTTATGCTGGGCTTGAGTGTCTGCAAGACAGAAATAGCCACAGGTCAACTGATTCAGATCTGATAGAGAGAAACAAGAGTAAAGGAAGACACCAGTTGTCACAGAAACAATTCAATGAGCAAAAAGTTTTCAGGATAGAGATTACAAGTCTTTTTTCAGGATTTCCCACAATGAACATATATTATTTTTAAAATCAGAAAAAAATATACAGCCGGGCGCAGTGTCTCACGCCTGTAATCCTAGCTCTCTGGGAGTCAAAAGCGGTGGATTGTTGAAGGTCAGGAGTTCAAAACCAGCCTGAGCTAGAGTGAGACCCCCTCTTTACTAAAAATAGAAACAAATTAACTGGCCAACTAAAAATTATAGAAAAAATTAAGCCCCCCCAAAGGGGCATTTTTGGCTAAAGCCCCCATGCCTGTAGTCCCAGCTACTCAGAAGACTGAGGCAGGATTGCTTGAGCCCAGGAGTTTGAGGTTGCTGTGAGCTAGGCTGACACCATGGTACTCTAGCCTGGGCAACAGAGCGAGACTCTGTCTAAAAATTATATATATATAACACATAAAAGGAAGGAGCAGTCACTTTAGACTCTGCAGCCAGGTAAAATAAACAAGCATGTTCCTTTGGTGCTAGTGACTGCTTGGTGACCCTGTCATGAGGAACTGCAGTGGACCCAAAGGCATAGTGCCTGGGGGAGGGTGACTGAAGGGTGAGATAGTGAGCACTCACTACAACTCTCTCCACTAGGCTGGCTGTGAAGGAGCTCCCATATACTGACCTAAATCCTTTCCAGGAATATGATGGATGTAACAAGTCACAATAGACTTGACTAACTTTATTCAGTGAAGGCCAAAATCCCACTTTCAATAATTCCAGTATTCCTTTTGGACTCTTGTGCCTAATTGCAGCTGAAAGCTGGAAAAACTCTCACCTAAAGAGAGCGTACAATCTCAAAATGAAGCCATGGAAGATAACTGAACTGTATTAGGAGAAAAAAAAAAAAAAACGTGCATGGATAAATCCCAAAGCCTAAAGGAAGTCACACTAACTCTTTTCTGTAGAGAGGCAGACGGGACTGTGGAGCAATCAAACGGCAACGTGTGGCTAGAACAGGGAAAGGACAGTTATTCTCTTAGTGCTAATAGGACCATGACATCAAAGGTAGATGCCTGTTTTCTTCCTTCAGCTTCAGCCTTGCCTATCAAAACAGGTTAGAATTGAAATCCAATGAAAAAAAAAAAACAGGTTGAGATCGATTCCGTTTCTCTGCTTCAGTTAAGGCAGGAATACCAATTCAAAACGGTCTTTACTAGCGTAAAAGCCATCTTTGTTATAAAAATCAGAGAATAAAAACAGAATAGTACATGAAGGAACCTCTATACCTTCAGAGGAAAACAGTATACGTAGAAATGCACTCTTCTTAAAACTGTAAAAGCTCTATGGAAAGCAATATGAAATACCTTAAAAAAAAAAAAAAAACTGTAAAAGCTTCCAGAGACCAGCCAGCCAGGCCAGGGAAGCATCCGAGCCTCCGTCCTGCCCCGTCCCCGAGGAAGGTTAAGGACAAGCGCCAGCTCACCTGCGCCGGGGCAGGCACGACAGAGAGGCCGGGCGCGACACGGGCGAGGCGACCCCACCAGGCCCGACTTCCTCGCCTGCGCGGTGCCGCGGTAGGGCGGCGGTCTGGTGCTGCTCTCGGCCTAACCGAATTCTCTCCGCTTCAGCCCCGACCGGACCCCGCTCCCGCCCGCCGGCCGCGGGCCCCGTGGGGAGACGCGCAGCGCCCGACCGGTCGTGGCGGAGGGCAGCAGGAGCCGCGGGCGCCGGTCCCGCTGACGCGCCGGCCCGCGCGAGCCGGACCGCGGCAGCGCCCGCGCCCCCGCCCTCGCGGGCCCGGAGCGGGGCGGCGGCGGGAGGGGGGCGCCACGGTGGCCGCCGTGGGACCCAGCCGCGCGCCGCCTCTCGCCACGCCTCTCCGGCCCGACCCACCTGTGCTCGCTGCCGGCTGGGGCTGGCCGGGCTCACCAACTGGAGGCAGCGGCGCCGGTGGCGGAAGCTGTAGGCCTGTCGCTACCCACTGCGCGCGGAGCCCATCGCTCGCCTTTGATTTGGCTAAGTTCGTGAGCTAACGCGCCGGCCCAATCGACGGTTGCCGGGGCTGGCTGGAACCAGGGGTGGCAGCGCCCCGGGGGCGAGAGCGGAAAGTCAACGAAGATCAGAGCGAACCCACTGGGGTCTCCCGGAGACAGAGAGATAGAGCTTGAGCATGACTGCAGGGAAGGGATCAAACCCAGCGCAGTCAGGATGGGAGTGACGCCAGGGTGCAGTCAACAGACCCGACAAGTGTATTAATTCTCGGCGGACGAAGGCTATATGCTCATTGATACTGTTCGCAGCCTAGCGGACTCGGGTCCCAGTCTTGGTTCTCCTACTCTCGTGGAGGGCTGAGGGCTGAGCGTCAGAGTTCCAGTCTGTAAACTGAAGAGGCTGGAAGAGTCCCTTCTGACTCTCATGCCTTTCCATGCAATCGTGTCAGGAATGCCTACCAGAAAGTAGATAAACGTTGAGGTTGACAATCTCGAACTGTTAAAGTCTGTAGAAGCTTGCAGAATTATTAATGATGAATACGTTTTTAATACTTTACATTCAAATCAGAGGGCCAGTGAGGAAGCTTTTTTTTTTTTTTTTTGAGACAGAGTCAAGCCTTGTTGCCCAGGCTAGAGTGAGTGCCCTGGCGTCAGGCCTAGCTCACAGCAACCTCAAACTCCTGGGCTCAAGTGATCCTTCTGCCTCATCTTCCCAAGTAGCTGGGACTACAGGCATGTGCCTCCATGCCCGCCTAATTTTTTCTATATATATTAGTTGGCCAATTAACTGCCTCATCTTCCCAAGTAGCTGGGACTACAGGATGTGCCTCCATGCCCGCCTAATTTTTTCTATATATATTAGTTGGCAATTAATTTCTTTCTGTTTATAGTAGAGACAGGATCTTGCTCTCCCTCAGGCTGGTTTTGAACTCCTGACCTCGAGCAATCCGCCTGCCTCGGCCTCCCAGAGTGCTAGGATTACAGGTGTAAGCCACCACGCTGGCCTGTTGACTCTTTTCTTTAAGGTCTAGTGTGTGATCATTTGAACTGCTGGTATGTAGGAGAAAAATATGTATTCTCTTATTTGGTCAAGTTTGTTAATTGTATTGTTCAGATTTTCCATATGTTCTTGCTAACTTTTTGTCTGTTTAGCCTATCAATAATAAGAAAGATTTGTTGAATGTCTCATAATGGTGAACTTATCTTTTTATTTGTAGTTCTATAAATTTAGCTATTTTATCAGATGCATACATGTCTCAACTTGGTGACTTGAACATCTTATCATTGTACTGTGACCTGTATCATCCCTAACAATGTGCTGGTTTTCTTTTGATTAGTATTTGCCTGATATACTGTATATCATCTTTTTTCTTTAGCTCTTTATATCCTTATGGTTTGAGCATATCTCTTATAAACAGCATATATCTAGATTTACAAAATCCAATTTGGTGGGTTTACTCACATTTATACTTACTATAATTATTGATATATTTGTAACTTTTTCTATTAATCTGTAATTTTAGTTTTTCCCACTTTTCTGTTTCCTACTTTTAAAAAAAGTATACATGTCAAAGTCCCTAATTAGACAGAAATTTTAGTGTGTCCTCTTGGCCTTTGTTTTCCCCTCACTCCAACCTTCGGTACATTGATATTAGCTACAGACTTAAATTTTAGGGCTTTATAAATATGTTTTTTTCCTTTGGCCTTAGCATTTTTTTTTTTTTTTTGAGAGAGTCTCACTTTGTTGCCTAGGCTAGACTGAGTGCCTTGGCATCAGCCTAGCTCACAGCAACCTCAAACTCCTGGGCTCAACCAATCCTCCTGCCTCAGCCTCCAGAGGAGCTGGGACTACAGGCATGCGCCACCATGCCCGGCTAATTTTTTCTATATATATTAGTTGGCCAATTAATTTCTTTCTATTTATAGTAGAGACAGGGTCTCGCTCTTGCTCAGGCTGGTTTCGAACTCCTGACCTCGAGCAATCCGCTCGCCTTGGCCTCCCAGAGAGCCAGGATTACAGGCGGGAGCCACGGCGCCCGGCCTGGCCTTAGCATTTTTTAAACAGTAATTTTTTATTTCCTCACCTTCAAATATCTATTTTCACTTTTCTCTATCCACTAGAGATCTTAGTTGTTGCTATATAGGAGCAGTCATAGATTGTACCAAAAAATTAAGAAAGGCAGGGGGAATCAAAAGCCAAACTAATAATTTCTTTCCTAATTTATTCTCCTATTGCCTCCTGCCTCAGGCTATATTCATCGTTCCATAAACATCAATTTAGAACAGATATATTGCCCAAGAATTTTCTGGTTTTTTGATATCTTGGTGTTTACCCCATATCTTGGCATTTTTTTCCTTCTCTAGTTCCTCTGAAATTGATCTAAAGATAAAATTAAAAAATTGGTAAATTGGATTTTATCGAACAACAGTCAACTCACCAATGATGCTATTAAGGAAATGAAGATGCAATCAACAGGGTCAGGTTTCCCACTATTGGAGTGAGATGTTACAGATAAGCAAGGGGAGTTTAGAACAATTCACATGGTAATGGATTCAAGTTGGAGACATCAATATAAACTCATAATTATCTTAATATAGATAGATGTTTATGTATAGAAATATTTATAGATATGTATGCACACACAGATTAGTATAGACAGGTATATTTCCTCATTCTGTCAGCTAAGAAATTTCCCCAGTAGCAAGGAACACATTTAGTGCCCAGATCTTGGTTTTTGTTTTTTTTTGAGACAGAGTCTTGCTTTGTTGCCCAGGCTAGAGTGAGTGCCGTGGCATCAGCCTAGCTCACAGCAACCTTACACTCCTGGGCTCAAGTGATCCTTCTGCCTCAGCCTCCCAAGTAGCTGGGACTACAGGCATGTGCGGGGCCTGGCCCGGGGCTGCACCAACCTGAGGCGGCGGCGCCGGTGGCGGAAGCTGTAGGCCTGGCTCGCTACCCACTGCGCGGCGGAGCCCATCGCTCGCCCATTTGATTGGCTAAAAGTACGTGACGTAACGCGCCGGCCCAATCGACGGTTGGCCGGGGGGCTGGGCCTGGAACCAGGGGTGGCAGCGCCCCGGGGGCGAGGAGCGGGAAAGTCAAAACCACCGCACCCGAACCAGATCTTGGTTTTTAAAAGGAACCAATGACCGAGGCACCGCAAGGTGGCTCAACGCTTTAATGCCCTAGCAACCTCCGGAGGCCCGAACGGGGCGGATTGCTCCAGGTCAGGAGGTTCGAAACCAGCTGAGCAAGAGCCGAGACCGCATCTCTACTATAAATATGATAACAAATTAATTGTCCAACTAATATATAGACGAAAAAATTAGCGGGCCATGTGGCACATGCCTGTAAGTCCCCAGCCCTACTTGGGAGGCTTGAAGCAGAAGGATCGGTTGAGCCCAGGAGTTGAGGTTGCCTGTGGTTAGGCTGATGCCAAGGCACTCCCTCTAGCCTAAGAACAAAAGCAACGACGTCTGTCTCAAATATAATAAATAAATAAATGAATGAATGAATGAAGCCAGACGTCCAGGGCATGGGTGTAGTCTCCAGTACGGGGCGGCCTGTACAGCCTAGCATCTGCGTACCAGCAGAATGGGCGCATTGCGAGAGCAACGCGTCTAGGAGCTTCAAAATCCAGCCTGAGCAAACAGGCGAGACCCTTTCCCTCTACTATAGGAAAAGACCGATCAGGAAGAAATATAATTGCCAACCTAAAATATACATAGACAAATATTAGCCAGCATGGATGACACCATTCCTGTAGTCCAGCAATCCTGCTGCCCAGCTACTTGAGGATCAGAACGGTGAGGCATTAGCCATTGCCTTGCCCCAGGAGTTTGAGGTTGCGTGAGGCTAGGCTAGAGTACCACAGCACTCTAGCTCCAGGAAACAGAGCGAGACTTGGACTACCCTGTCTCAGAGAGAAAATACAAATATGGCACTGCTGCGAGCGCTGAGGAGGGCGGATTGCTCGAGGGTCAGTGACGAGTTCGAAACCAGCCCTGAGCAAGAGCAAAACCCCGTCTATACTATAATACCTATGCTCAGCTAATTTTTCCTATATATATTTGTTGGCCAATTAATTTCTATTTATAGTAGAGACCAAGTCTCTCTTGCTCAGGCTGGTTTCAAACTCCTGACCTTGAGCGATTCGCCCCGCCTGGGCCTCCAGAGTGCTAGGATTAAAGACGTGAGCCACCAGGCCCAGCCTTAACATTGATCTTGATCACCTGGCTAAGGTAGTGTTTGTCAGATTTCCCCACTGTAAAGTTCCTATTTTTCCCCCTTTCCATACTGTACTCTTTGGAAGGAAGTCACTATGCAAAGCCCACTCAAGGACTGGGAAGTATGCTACATTCTCCTTGAGGATATAGGTGTCTATATAAACTATTTAGAATTATTCTGTACAGTTAGAGATTATGGTTATATATCTTACTCCAAGAAATTATATTATGTCACTTACTTAATTATATATCCAATATCATTATTGTTTAATAATCAGTAGGTAGCTCTCGTGTGAGCTATGGCGTCTATAGTCCTTTGATCCACCCAGCTACTCTATTGAGAGGCTTGAGGCAAGCGAAGGATCTTGCTTCTGAGCCCAGGAGTTTGAAGGCTTCGCTGTGAAGCTAGGCTGACGCCACGGCACTCACTCTAGCCTGGTCAACAAGCGAGACTCTGTCTCAAAAAAATAAATAGAAATAAATAAATAAATAAAATAAAAATAAATAAAAGGAAACCAGAGTTCCTTGGAGAAATGGCTAATTCTAGACTATGACAGGAAAAATACAAGGATGAGGTTGGAGTAATCTTATACTGCGAAAAAGTAAGAAGTGCTACTTTCTTACTTTTAGTAGAAACAAATAGAAACAACACAAACCCAACACACAATGATGAAGCTATGTCAAAGTGACAGAAGAACAAACTTGAAAGAGCTGCCAATGACTAATTTGTCCCCAAAGAAGTAGTATGGGAGTATAACTAAAGTATAGAAATAAATATTTCAAGATTCCAGTACTATATAAACAAATGATTGAATATAATAAATAAATGGGAGAAAGAAACCAAATCTCTACTGTACAGAATAATACTCTAAATAGTTTATGATAAGACACTATATCCTCAAGGGAGAATGTAGACATAACCTTCCCAGTCCATTGAGTGGGCCCTTTGCATAGTGACTTCCCTTCCAAAGAGTACCAGTATGGAAAGGGGAAAAAATAGGAACTTTACAGTGGGGAAAATCTGACAAACACTTACCTTAGCCAGGGTGATCAGATCAATGGTAAGCTGGGCCTGGTGGCTCAGTTTTAAAATCCTAGGCACTCTGGGAGGCCCAGGCCGGGGCGAATCGCTCAAGGTCAGGGTTTGAAACCAGCCCTGAGCAAGAGAGACTTGGTTCTCTACTATAAATAAATGAAATTAATTGGCCAACAAATATATATAGGAAAAATTAGCTGAGCTGGTGGCACATGCCGGTAGTCCCAGCTACTGCAGGAGGCTGAGGCAGCAAGGATTGCCTGAGCTCAGAGGAGTTTGAGGCTGCCTGTGAGGTACGGGGCTACCGCATGGCCACTACTCTAGCCCTGGGCAACAAAGTGGACTTTGTCTCAAAAAAAAACAAAAAAAAAAAAAAAAAAAAAGAAGAAGAAGA